TGCTGACCTTCTCCTGCTCTGACCCCGGCTCGTTCCTGACCATCCCTCTGCCTGACCCTCAGTACCACGCTGCCCGCTACCTGCTGAACCTGGCTTGTGACCCCGACCATTCTCGCTTACTCTCCCTGTACCACGCTGCCCGCAAAATACCGACCCGGCTAGTCTGACCTCGCCTACTCCTGATAGCCGCCCATCCATCCCGCTCAGATCGGGATCTGTCATCCCATCCATCCCGCTCGGATCGGGATCTGTCGTCCCCTTCACAGCAGGCTCAAACCGGGCACATACCCTCAGCGGGACCCCCTCTTACGCCGCCGGGGGTGCCCAGGAACGCGACCTGGTTTCAGTCTTGCACCAAGTCCATCCCCACCATCAGGGGCCCTGGTGAAAAGGCAGACTGGAACTTAGACTCCGTGTCCTGGGAAACCCCGTGCCGTGGACCACTAGAGATCCCATTGGGCGGAGCCTGACACCAATGTTGTCCTTGTGTAGGAACAAGAGTCGGCCTCTACCTACACCCTCCAGCAGCCCACAGCCTCTCTTGAATCCCATGGCAGAGCTCAGGCAGTGCCTCACCTGCTCCCCATCTTCTACCATCTGTCACATTTATCCCTTCTTTGGGGGGACAGTGCCGTCCCCTTGAGAAATGCTGCAAAAGGCAAACACCTTGTTATCCTCACGGTAAATACACCCCTGATTCTTTGGGGTCTCTGCTCTCAGGAAATACATTTTGTTTTGGGGTATCCTTATTCTCCAAAAATAATCTATACATATCCACTGCTTAATGGCCCAGTAATCTGTTTTCATGAAATCATTTTTTTACTGTGTTTTACTTCCTCTTTGTTATGTTTTCCTTGACCTCCAAAAAATCTACTTTTCCCCCCTCACATTGATTTGTTTGGAGTAAGCTGTGCACATTAGTTGCGGTCATGTGAACCGCTCTATGCGCACTGCAGATCCCATAGACCATAGTACGTGGTCCATCGTGAGAGCAAGCAAGAGAGGGTGACTATGTTCCTACATACAGTGGGACCATGGAGAACAAACGTAGCCACCCTCTAAAGGGAAATCAGATCACATGAGCGCAAAAAACATTAGAGAACATTAGAAGATACAATACTTTTTTGGAGTAAGAATACATAATTGAATAGATTTTAAAAAAAAAAACAGAGTTTAGTGACACTTTAAGTGTAGGAAGTCAGAACATGTTGGTTACAGTACATACTGAACTGTTCCCAGTCTGAGCTCCCCACAAAATCTTGAGTTGCTGCTCCTTCCTACACAAACTTTGGATATAACAATAGCAGAATGGTGCAAAAATAGCTACAGCTGTTTTAATAAATCTGCCACACAGTACCAAGCAATATAATATAAATCATTACAAGTTCACAGATGGTCATGCAGTGCTTGTCACAGTTTACTTCAACGCACTTATATTGTATTGAACTAATATGTCAAAACTTCATATCACAGTTCAAAGATCCCAACTGCTCTTATCTAATTTTAACAGAACAGCAGACCTCTACAAGGGTTAGAAGATCACAATGCAGGAGCTGCCATGGGAAAAAAGGCCATAGTAAGGCTGTATATGATGACAAATGGTAATGGAAAAACAGAATGCAAAGCATCATCAGTGTATTTAGCCTGGGAGAGCCTTCCACTACCCCCACCCCCACCCCACACCCCCAGCCATAGAGAGAAAGATACTCATCTTCATCTCCAGACATCCCCAGGAATGAGAGTCAGGCTCTACATACACCATTAAGCAGCCTGCAGCCTCTCGGATCCCACTTGGTTCCCATTGAGCACCTGGCCCTTCTTTCATCCGTTCTTCTGTGGGGAGGTGCTCCCTCCTGAAAAATGCCGCCCTAGGCAAGTGCTTTGTTTCCCTTTGTGGTAAATACATCCCTGATAGGATTGCACCATGGGGTTCCTACTTCATTTTTACCCCTTATAAACCTTAATATTATAACTAGCTGGTGCAATAGTTTGATATCCTTCTGTTTTAGGGTACATACACACAGCCGTAAAAAAACACAATTCAAAGTGTGTTTTGTTAACAGATCTGAATACAGGTGAATTTTTTCAATGGGGTCATGCACAGAGATGTAAAAAATGCTCTGCGTTCAGATCTGCAACAAAAAATAAAAAAATCTGCATCTGCGTGTAAACACATATACACGCATACAGAGTTATTAAAGAGCAGGAGGATATAGAACTGGAAGTTTATGCATTTAAACACATACGCATCTTTGTGAGTTTAAACACAAGAATTTTATGAATCATTTACACATGGAAGCAATGCCTATAAGATCAATAAAATTCTGTGCTTTAAAGTAGAGTCTATAATGTAAACCTTAGGCCTCTCGCACATGGGTGAAACGATATGGTGTTTGTAGCCGTGTAGTGTTCTTTTTTTGGCTCTGAACACAGGTGCATTGTTGTCTATGGGACAATGCACACAGCTTTCTAAAGACTCACAATGCAGTGATATAATCAGAATTTGAGTGCAGTAATGTGTGTTTAAACATGCACATGCAAGTAAATTTGAACATATATGTGTACAATGAAACACTGGCAGCCAGAAGAGGGTGAAGAAGAATTTTAATGCTACATGGACCTGGAAATTTACTGACCTATAGGCATGGTTTTTCTGCATAAATGATCAGTAAAAATGCTTGTCTCTTTAAAGGATAAGTTCACCTTTGGGAACATATTACATGTTCCATCTGTTCTTAGGACATGAAACATGTTTCCACTCCTGCAGCCCCTCACTGATCCCCCCCCCCCTGATTGTGACAATGGACCAGGGATCTTTTCCCCACACCTGCTGTCACTGGGCTCCACCCACACATCCACATCATTTATTCACAGAGATCTGTGAATGATGAACTACAAATACCAAAAGCCTTTGTGCCTGACAGCTTGTAGCTTTCAATTAACTGCCAGGGCACTAATGAGCACTCTAGGTAGTTCATTGAATCTACCTGTCATTATGTAACCGCCTGTCAAGCAGACAGCTTACACTGACAGTCTGCAGGAGCCTGAAATTGCAGCTGCAATGCTTTACAGGCTCCAAAAAAAATAAATACACATTTTGTTACCTGAAAAAAAATTAGCATTTATTATTTTTTTAGAAAGGTGAACTTATCCTTTAAACACGTAAAGACCTGTATTCATTTAAATACATAAACTCTTATATCCTCCTGCTCTGTTTTTAAAGTGGTAGTAATGTCTGTGTGTTTACTTGTACCTACAGGTAAGTCTACTGTATAAAAAGGCTTACCTGTAGGCAGGGCTGCTCTTAGAACAGCCAACCTGACAGGGCCTCCCTCAAAAAAAAAAAAAAACACAGTTTACTATGCTTCAGTTATGAATGAACACATTGAGTGATTGGTACCAATCACTCATTGTGTTCATTCAGCAAAAGAAGGGGCTGGTAAATGTGATATATTTACTGGACCCTTCACCCACTCTCCATCTTGAAGGATTCTATTGTGTGCTTGCAGTTGCCGGTGGAAAGGAAAGGAGGGGTCATAAGCAGCGGGGGGAAATATATGGTGCACAGGGAGGATGTTGGGTGCCGCAGGGGGCAATTACTGGAACCGATCCCCTGTGTGGCTCTCGCTGCAGTAGAGAAAAGCTAGTGGAAGGGAGAGGAGAGGAAGCCATATTTCAGCTGCTGCAAAGAGAGCCATACTGGGGATCAGATCCCCTGTCCCTCCCTGCCCACATCTGATTCACCAAGCTGTCTGGGCCCCCCTGCTAGCCTGGGCCCCATACAGGAGGACTGGTGGTACCCCCTTATCCACAGCCCTGCCTGTAGGTACTGTAAATATCTCCTAAATGTGCACCACCAGCACATGAGCTCTGAAGAAACGGCAAAACCCTGCCAGTCCTTCAGAGCTGTGTGCTGTAAACAGTGACTCCCGCGTGCATGGGCAGGAGTGACGTCATCACGGCTTGACCATTCAAGCCTCTGGACCCCGCAAACCCAAAAGAAGAATCAGGTTGAGATGGAAGCCCTGTCAGCGGTGACAGTGCACTGCTGGAGGGCTTCATTTTAAGGTAAAGACATTGCCTTAAAAGTTTTTTCTTTCTTTCAATATCATGTTTACTACTGCTTTAATCCCAGAATACACTTAAGCATCTATAAATGTAGCGCTCAGCCCTAAAGGGTTGCTGGATTCCACAAGTTCTTTCCCAAACAGTTCTGAGGCAGGCAGGCACGTGGCAACAGTTTATTCACTCTTGGCTCAGTAATCAGTCTAGTGATGTCTTTTTAGGATTTTTATTTCTGAAGAACTTGGATGGGGTGTAGGGTAATATGTAATACTCCAAATTCACTGAATATTCGCAAGAGGACACTCCACTTTGCTAAGCCTCCCTGAACAGTCTCTATGCAAGGGCAAGCACAGATGGCAGAACTGAGTCCTTTAACCACCTCCCGTCGGCCATTGTATATAAACGGCCGGACGGTGGCAGTGCAGGGTCGGGTGGCCGTTTACAAAAATGTAAAAAAAAATGTTTAAAAATTATAATTTTTGGTTATAAACTAATTTGGGTTATTTTTGTTACAAAAAAGATAACGGAATAAATTTTGGCCAAGATTTTTGATGAAATATTATTTATTTGCAAAGTTTTATAAAAAAAAAACACTTTTTTTCAAAATTTTTGGACTTTTTCATTTACATAGCAAAAAAAAATAAAAATCCCAGTGGTGAATAAATACCACCAAAAAAAAGCTTTATCTGTCTCAAAATAATGCTAAAAAATTCATATGGGTACAGTGTTGCATGACAGCGCAATTGTCATTCAAAATGTGATAGTGCTGAAAGCTGAAAATTGTCCTGGACAGGAAGGGAGTAAAAGTGTCCGGACTTGAAGTGGTTAAAAGCTATCCCAGTCAGTACTGCCACTGGCTCGTCTACCCAAAGGAAGCAGCACACAGTCACTAGGACTCTGGACTCAGGTCAGTACTGACAATGTCACAGGATCACTGGATGTCGCCTTCCGGCGTGCATTGGATAAAGATTGTTAAACAAATGTATTTCCATAGGAGCAGTTCACACCAGCAGGGGCGGACTGACAACTCATGGGGCCCCCAGGCAATAGGGGATCATGGGGCCCCTGTGTCCTTGCCCAAACTCAAAAAAGCCTATGAAAAAGGTACCAGGGGCATCTCATGGGGCCCCCTACTGACCCCGGGCCCTCGGGCAGTGCCCGAGTTTCCAAATGGTCAGTCCGCCCCTGCACACTAGTGAGATGCACTGATGTGCACTGCTCTGTGCTGAAAAAAAAGTAGAACATATACTACTTTAGTTAAGCATGACTCGACGCAACTCATGTAAATACGTGTAAATGCACCTCAACATGCATAACTGTCAGTTTAAGTTTCCTTTACAAATGAATCTTGGTGAAGTTTTAAAAAAAAGTATTGAAGAACCTGTTAAAACATAATACATAATGCAACATGCAAATACACGTCAGTCAGGGGTGGGCTAACCATTTGGAAACTCGGGCACTGCACGAGGGCCCGGGGTCAGTAGAGGGCCCCATGAGATGCCCCTGGTACCTTTTTCATAGGATTTTTTTGAGTTTGGGCAAGGACACAGGGGCCCCATGATCCCCTATTGCAGGGGGCCCCATGAGTTGGCAGTCCGCCCCTGACGTCAATGCAGATATTGCGATATGAATGGACCTTTAAAGCGGACTGATATACCCTTAAGTATGCCAGTGTGAAGGAGGCTTTAGACCAGTGGTCTCCAAACTGTGGCCTGCGGGCCGGATGTGGCCCTTTGCCAGCCTTTATCCAACCCTGGGGGTCCCAGTCCTTACATATAAATATCGAATTAAAAAAATGGTTAGTTGAGCTAAAACATTTTTTACTTATTTCAAGCAGTATAAACAAACTTTTTTTAAAACAATTCCCATTTCTATTACCTGTATTTGGAAGCATTATCTAAATGTTATTTGGAGAGCCGAAATATGTATTTTTGAACAAATCTTATCAGTAGAAGAAAATGATTACTTTTGGGCTCATTTACACTTGCACTTGGGTTGGTAAAAACATGCAGTTGAGCTGTGTTTTTACCATCCCCTGGCCATCCCCCTTTTAAGCTACAAAGGTAGCCAGACAGGTGTGCATGCATGCCAAGGCCGTGACAAAAATAATTCCTCCTCACTGCCTGTCAAACACCCCTGAAAAGCAACCCACCACAGATAGCTTTTCAGAGGAGCGGCAAGCTCTGCTGCTAGTGTAAGCCTAGCCTAAGAAATAATTTTAGTACACAAGATTGTGCAAGAAAGACGTGGAATAAAGGATAGGTTAAACCTAATGCATTGTTAGAACTGAGCATGGGTAACCTTACATCATAGCAACAAATAATTATACCAACGGAACAAAAGTATAGCAGATTATTATTTATTACAGGTACTTATATAGTACCTTCAATTTACACAGCATTCACATCAGTCCATAACCCTCAAGGGGTGTACAATCTAAGGTCCCTAACTTGATAGGAAACCCACGCAGGCACAGGGAGAACATACAAGCTCCAGGCAGTGGTGCCATGGTTGGGATTCAAACCAATGATCCTAGTACTGCCAGGCAGAAGTGCTAACCATTGAGCCACTGTACTGCCCCAGATATGACATAAATTTTTCAATTTGTTGCAATTTGCCTAAAAAAAATTAAAAGACGGCAAAAATAAAAACCCCATTTAAGTCATTTTCAGAGAATCAATGGTCTACATCAACTTCTTAACCACTTTCCCGCCTCCCTATAGCAGATATACTGCTACAGGGTAGCAGGGGTGCACAAAATCATGTATATATACGTGATTTTTCATTTCCGTGTAGGCTGTCAATCACCGGGTCCCAGCCGGTGATTACTTGCCGGCACCTGGTGATGAAGGAGCATTACCGACGGAGGGAGCAGTGCAAAGCAGTGTGGTTACAGTGAAGCACACACACACAGCCCCTAGTAAAACAGCACACAGTTAACCCTTTGATCGTGCCCGATGTGAACCCGTTCCTGCCCTGTGCCATTAGTACAGTGTCAGGGCTTTTTATTAGCACTGTTCACTGTATTGGTGTCACAGGGGATGGCAGGGACACCAAGTCAGTTCCCCCCAGTGTCAGAATGCCTGCCACAGTCCCTCTATAAGTCGCTGATTGCCATCATTACTAGTAAGGATAAAAATTTAAAAATAAAATCCCAGTATATACACCGCCATTAGTAAATGCTATAATTAATTTTTTTTACTGGACATGTTTAATAGCAAAAAGTCAAAAATATTGTTTTTTTTCTCAAAATTGTCGCTTTTTTTTAATAGCGCAAAAAAAAAAAACCGCACAGGCGATCAAATACCACCAAAAGAAAGTGGCCTAAAAAAGACGTAGATTTCATTTGGGTGCAGTGTTGCTTAACCGCGCAATTGTCAGTTAAAGTAATGCAGCGCTATAACACAAAAAATGGCCTGGTTAGGGAGGGGGGTAAATCCTCTGGAGGGCAAGTGGTTATTTATATGACAAAATGATGTGTTCATTTGCCGCAATCTAGTTTATAAAACTTGTGACAAATGTGCAAAAACAGACATTGGGAGATTGATTGAACATTTGCAAAACAAAAAGTGACGCATCACTTGTAAATGTTCATCGCAAAAGGCAGAATATGAGCTGCAAATGATATTATTATTATACAGGAGTTTATATATCGTCAACAGTTTGCGCAGCACTTTACAAAATGAAGGTAGACATTACAGTTACAATACAATTTGGTACAAGAGGAAACAGAGGGCCCGGCTCGTTAGAGCTTACCATCTAGGAGATATGCACACATACCGACATGTAACATTTGGAAACAGAACACAAAGGTGATCATATTTGCCCTCCCCAATATACTTACAGTTTATGGAGTTGGAAATAATCCGGTGATTGCTGTAAATGTTTGATCAGGTGAAGTCCCACTTGTTTCTTCAATGAAGAATCTTCACCATTCATTCCATGTAGACTATTAGTTAACTTTCCTCCTGCGCTCTTCTAATTTATATCAATCTGTGTAGTTAATCATTATGTTAATTATCATTCTCTGACATACAAAGCACCTTTGTCATAATTTCCTGAGTTCTTCACAGATCCATTTTCATTTTTTATCAGAGGACGCAATGTCCCGATTGTCCAAAAAAGTTCCAAAAGTTTTCCTAAATGGGATGCCTATACAAGCCAAATGTGATAGCAGACAAGGAGGTTGAGGAGAAGCTCTGCTAATATTGCTCTTGTGTAAAAGAAACTGTCTTCTGATGATGAATGACAGATCGGTAATAACAAGATATTAGGCAATGCAGAGTCAGGTGTGAGCAGAACGGTCATGTTTGCCGAGTATGTTGCACTACTGCACAATGGCATGGCGGGACAGCTGGTCATCCCACAAAATGCAGTGGAGATTCTACTATTAAGGGGAAACTATAATGATTTGGAGTACATTTTTATTTGTTATGTCTGTGTTTATATTGTACACATTCAAACTTTTACATATAAACATTAGTACATGGCACAGGATTACCAGATCACAATGGCTTATCTAATAGACACTGATGGCTTTATGGCTGAGCTTGACTGATTGAAAACCTTGGCATGCACCATCTGTCCTAGGACAAATTACAGCTGTGATGTTTGAGCTGAAATAGCTGAATATGTCTATTCAGGGGCGAACTGACCATTTGGAAACTCGGGCACTGCCTGAGGGACTCGGGGTCTGTAGGGGGCCCCATGAGATGCCCCTGGTACCTTTTTCATAGGCTGTTTTGAGTTTGGGCAAGGACACAGGGGCCCCATGATCCCCTATTGCCCGGGGGCCCTATGAGTTCTCAGTCCGCCCCTGTGTCTAATGGATACTAGAGCTCCATTTCTCTGTCTCATTACTATTATTATTATTATACAGGATTTATATAGCGCCAACAGTTTGCTCAGCGCTTTACAATATAAAGGGAGACAGTACTGCAATAAACAGTTCAATACAAGAGGGTTAGGAGGGTCCTGCTCCTTGGAGCTTACAATCTAAGAAGGAACTCATAAAAAACACAACATAATCTACAATGTTTCATACTTATCTAACTAAAACAAAAAAGGCATATTTAATAATCATAATAACTAACATAAAAAAAAATATACTAAATCACTATACATTCTCCTTAACAGCTCAGGACCTCAATCACTGATTTCAGCACTCTAATATGGTGATTTGGTGTATAGCTTTATCATTGGGTGAAATTATTTTTTAAAAATGCATGTACATGTGCTCATGCTCATGCTCATTTGTATGTTCTCTCTCTACATTAAAAATAGAGTGGTTTTGGAAACTACTGAATTATGGCTAGTAGATGGAGCTGACAATCATTGTAAATATTATTTATTTTCTATGATCATCAGCTCCATCTATTGGTCATGGTGTGTTATTTTCCTGATTCACTCACTGACATGGAAAACAAAATAGCCTAATAACATTTGATTTTGCCTCCCTTCACACAGAATGAATGTACATGGAGTTTCACAGGATGAATAGCTCAGTGAATTTTCTTTTATTTTACAAATACACCCCTAGTTGTTTATCTAATAAGAAAATATGCTGCCCTGTGTGTAATCACTCTATACCTCCTTATTGGAACATCATTGTAACACCCTTCACTGGTAAAAGCCAAGTCCCAATTGGAGCATGTTACATGACCAAAAGCCACCAGAGGGCAGGGAGCTGGTGCTCTGCACTGGAAGTGAGCTAGAGAGTGATCCTATGGGAGGAAATTACCTCTCCTCTCACTCAAAGAGCAAGTAAAGTAGCACAGCATTTAGCTCTTTATAGTCTTGACATGCTGCTTGTTATACATTCCCAATTCCAGAAACATTGGGGCGCTGTGTAAAGTCTACATAAAAACAGAACACAATGATTTGCAAATCTCAAAAACAATAAAAAATAGGAAACATTCCAAATATTTAAACTGAGGAAATGTATCATTTTAAGAAAAAAAAGGTAGTTTTGAAATTAATGGAAGCAACATATCTCAAAAAAATTTAGACAGGGCAGCAAAAAAGCTGGTACTAACAAGGAGGAGCTGGAAGAACATTATGCTATGAATTAGGTTAATTTGCAACAGGTCATTAACATGACTGGTATAAAAAGAACATCCTACAGAGTCAGTTGGGTAGATTTACTAAAACTGGTGCAAAAAAAAGGTAAAGCTCTATCATGCAAAGAAGAAGCCATATCTGAACATGATCCAGAAATGCTGCTGTCTTCTCTGGGCCAAACACATTTCAAATGGTCTGTTGCAAAGTGGAAAACTGTTCTGTGGTCAGATGAATCAAAATTTGACATTTTCTTGGCAACCATGGGCTCTATGTCCTCCAGATTGAAGAGGAGAGGGACCTTCCAGCTTGTTATCAGGGCTCAGTTCAACAGCCTGCATCTCTGATGGTATGGGGGTACATTAGTGCATATGGAATGGACAGCTTGCACATCTGGAAAGACACCATCAATGCTGAAATATATATCCGGGTTTTAGAGCAGCATAAGCTTCTATCCAGATGACGTGTTATTCACGTAAGGCCTTACATATTTCAGCAGGACAATACTAAACTGCATACTGCATCTATGACAACACCATGGCTTCCTAGTAGAAGAGTCCGGGTGCTTACCTGGCCTGCCTTCAGTCCAGAACTCCACCAATGGAAAATATTTGGCAGATCTTAAAACAAAAAATACAACAAAGACCCAGTACTGTTGAGCAGTTAGTATTCTTTATCAGACAAGAATGGAACAACCAGGGGCGGACTGACAACTCATGGGGCCCACGGGCAATAGGGGATCATGGGGCCCCTGTGTCCTTACCCAAACTCAAAAAAGCCTATGAAAAAGGTACCAGGGGCATCTCATGGGGCCCCATACTGACCCCGAGCCCTCGGGCAGTTCCAAATGGTCAGTCCTCCCCTGGGAACAACATTCCTCTCCCAAAATTTCAGCAACTGGTCCCCGCAATTCCCAGACATTTTCAGAATCTTATTAAAAGAAGAGGAGATGCTACACCAGGGTAAACATGGCCCTGTCCCAACTTTTTGAGACGTGTTTGCTGCCATCAGTTCAAAATTACCTTATTTTTTCTTAAAATGGTACATTTTCTCTGTTTTAAACATTTGATTGATATGCTTTCTATTTCCTAAAATATGGGTTTATGAGATTTGCAAATCATTGCATTCTCTTTTTATGTAGATTGTACACTGTGCCCCAACATTTTTGAAATTAGGGTTGTAATATGCAACTAATTTTTTTTGGAAATGCTTTAAAATACCTTCTTCTCTTAGGGAAAATGCTGTCCTCTCATTCCAGTGCTTATGCTGGCAGAGCTGAGTAACAGCTACACCTCTCAGCACAAGTGAGAGTTATTTACCCTGAAGTCATCAAAGAGGACAAGGGGGCACTATTTACGTCTGGAGGCAAAGAGATTTAATCTCCAAATATGGAAAGGTTTCTTTACAGTAAGAGCTGTGAAAATGTGGAATAGACTCCCTCAAGAGTTGGTTCTGGCCAGCTCAGTGGATTGCTTAAAAAAAGGTCTGGATTCTTCCCTAGATACACAGAATATAACTGGTGATTTCCTGGGGAGGGGGGGTGGGTTGCCTTCCTCTGGATCAACTGTGGGTATAGGATTATAACATGTTTTTTTTGGTTGAACTGGTCGGACTTTTGTCTTTTTTCAGCCAGCCTAACTATGTCACTATGTAACTATGTAAGTGTCCTCACTCGGACTTGCATTGCAGATGAAAAGAGGGGGTGTGTCAGATCACATCTGTTACTGGGTGCTGATTACTAAGTGCACTAATTCTAAACATGGTGCATCTTTGGCTGCACAGTCATATTTAGATACCCTCTACAACCAGTGTTGTATTTTGGTTTTGTGCTGCCCTAGGCAAGACTAAAATCGGGTGAACACAGTGAACATCTGTGGCTTCCTCATCAGACCCTTAGACATGATTCGTCCAAGTGCCATATGTGTGCCATATGTGCCATAGAGGATGGGGTCAGCAGGGACATAGGACAGGGTCAGCATGGCAGAGAATGGGGTCAGCAGGGTTTAGGACAGGAGTCAGTAGGGCAAAGCTTGGGGTCAGTGGGACAGGGGATGGGGTCAGCATGGCATAGGATGGGGACAGCGGGGCAGAGGACTGGGTCAGTAGGGCAGAGCAAGTGGTCAATGGGGCAGAGGATGGGGTCAGTGGGGCAGAAGACGGTGTCAGCTGTCCTCTCTCTCTCTCTCCCTCCTGTACAGTATACACATGACTCTCTCTCTGCCTGCTGTTCACTATACACACTCTTCTCTCTCTGCCTGCTGTTCACTATACACACTCTTTTCTCTCTCTCTCCTGTACATAATACACACTTCTCTATATACATCTCTGCACAGTTATTTCTCTCAAGCCACCACACTCCCCCTCTGTAACTGCCCTGCCCCAACCTCAACATCACGGCTCCCCTTTCAACCCTGCCTTTTCCAGAAACCCTCTCTCTTCTCCCCTCTTGCTCATAGGACTATGCCCCCGTGCCCCTCCTCTCCCTTTCTCCGATTGGCCCATGCCGCCGCCCTTCAGCCATCCTTGCCGAGCCACCCAGCCCCTCCCTGGCTGTAGTTATGGAGGATGCTTCCTCCTCCTCCATTACCCTGTCCAGAGTGTGTGTGATGTCTTTCATTGGGGGCTCCCGTCTGCTGCTTTTCCACACTCAGATCCTGACTGTTTAGGAGCAAAGTCGGCTCTTTAATTAGGTAAAGTAGGTGGCTTTGAGGTTTAATTAAAGAGCTGCCTCTGCCCTTCTGCCTGATGGCAGCGCCGCCCCCCTAAAAATGCCGCCCAAGGCAATTGCCTTGTTTGCCCTGTGGTAGATACACCCCTGTGTACAACTACTGCTATAACAGAAAAGTGGAGGCAAGATTATGAATATAGAGGTTGTAAATACAATGTCTATGATTGTATACCTATTTCTGTGACTTCAGCTGTTTTTTTTTTATTAGAAAACAGAATAAAAGTAATCCAGTAATTCAAATGGAATCTCCAGAGACTGTTGAATTTTTTCAACCATATTATTTGGAATTTACAAAAAAAAAAAAATTGGGTCTCATGAATGATGAGTTGAAATTCCGTTTTCTTTTTCTACCTTTTTGCAACAAAAACAGGAACATTCTGAGATGTTTACATACGACTATGCCACCTTGACTAGCTCTGAGGAAATACGCACATATGGATTACCTTTGATCTGCTCACATTGAACCTGAACTGCTGGTTATGTAACACACAGCTATTTTATTATCGATTGCAAAACTGCCCATTTTGCATTAGCCTATATACCTAATAAAATGTACTATATGTTTAGATCCATTGAATAGCATGCCTTGTTTTGGTGTCACAGCGCCACTATGTGGGGAACTCTCCCCAATGGAATCAGCAGTGAACAGCAATGAAAACCTAAAATTGTAAGTATGTTGGTCTAACTCAGATTTACAGTGATATTAAACCCTCAGTTTTAAGGACTTTGAGCAGCTGCTTCAAAGAATAAGTTTGCCTTTCTTAACATTATTATTATTATTATACAGGATTTATATAGAACCAACAGTTTGCTCGGCGCTTTACAATATAATGGGAGACAATACAGCAATGATACAGTTCAATACAAGAGGGATAGGAGGGCCCTGCTCCTTGGAACTTAAAATTTAAGATAACATGTTAAATGTTACACCCATATTCAGGGTGAAGCATGTAACATGTTATTAAAGGACTGGCTCCCACTCCGTTCATAGCATGTTACGTGTTACACCCTGAATATGGGGGATCTTCTCCCCCTGC